AACAGCAAATAAATTCATTAACCTTGGTATCCTCCTCTATGATCATATGAATCTCCATAATTTACTCTGTATGACTGACGTCGATAATCTAGAGAAAATTAACTTTCAACTTAACTTTTTAAGTTTAATATTTTTGTTTTAAATATTCAATCCAAAACACAAAACTAGTATTCATGACTGAATTAAATCTTGTCTAGAAAGTTAAGCCCCCACGGATCAACTATACAATGACAGTCAAGCATCACGAGAGAGCATTAAGAAGCCACAACTCACCATTGTATGGCCTGGCTCTTCTCAAATCTTTGTACCAAGTCATTGACACGTGGTCTCCCAATATATCAGTTTCATTATATCTGTGAACAAAATATTCTCCATACATTTTCATGATAAAAACAAAAATTGTATAAAAAAGTAATAATCATTATCACCGTCAATATTTCATATATCCATCATTTATTATCATCATCATAGCAATGAAATAAAAAATTATTGTTCATTCTTCCATAATGTGAGAATCACTGTAGCATCAGCCATCAGATATTTTATCCAAATGCGTAAGTAGTAACGTTGGAAAAATATTTCAAAGTTTATCTACAATCTTTCATGATCTGCATTATTATTCCCAAATTTGAAGAATATTATTCCACTATGAAAAATTCTTTGAGAAATAAATTGACTGCAGCAAAACGATGAACGTTGAAGCAAGACATATAACGCAAAATGGCAAGAACATTCTATTGTTGCAAATAGAATTTGGCACTGAAAAATTGGAGAATTACCACCATTCAAGCCATTCAAAGATAACTTTCTCTATTGATTATATAATGTCTATAACAAATTGTATGAAAGAACTACAGTGAAATCCAATAATCAAAAAACGATTTCAGTGTTAAATCCCATCAATGAATAAAATTACAAATGATATCTTTGAGCTTTTTATATTCCATCATGGTTTTGCCTTTACCAGCAGTAAAGTAAACAAGGAATATTAAATCCTTAATTTGAGTCAATCTCAAAATGGCAAAACACATTACCAGTCTGTCATCAAACCAATCCTTTTAGAGATAATAAACAATAAAAATTTATAAATTGAAATAAATTATTATTTAACATAATTTAGAAAGACAACTAAAAACTATAATAGCTAACTGAAAATAAATAACATAAAATCATAAAACTTGAAATTTATTTAAATTAAAAAAAAAACCTCTCTAAAACATCTCTAGCAACATCTTTAGATTCAAATTTCAAAGCCAAAAACAGTTGATCTTTGCCATCTTCTTTGAAAAATTCTACAGTATTACGGCCACATTTGGATGCAAAAAATTCCCTAAAATGAGATGTTTTTAAAAAATGTTTAATACCTTAGTGGCCATTTTTTAGCTAAATCAGGTTGGTTTTTAATACAATACAAAATACAGTAGCAGTTGGATGCAAGAGAGAAGAGATTAAAAAATTAAATTATTAAAAACTCATTAAAAAAATTAAATAATTAGAAATTAAATAAAAATGTAACTATTTAAAAAAGGATGATAACCTGATCTGATCGATGTCTTGACGGTAATTGAATCCGCGCATAAAAAGAGTATCTTTGCTCGCTGGAATGTGTATAGACATTTTTTTCAACAATTTTTCTTTTCCGCAACCAAGTCAACGAAAAAAAAAATAAAATGGATTCCGATGCCCAGCTAACAACGATAAGATATTATTATAATTGTAGAAATAAAACGTGTAAGAAATTACCATAGATAAGTAAACATTAAGGTGCTGTACCCAATATGTTGGTACTTACAACACCCAATTTAAAACAATGCAAAAAATATTGCCCACTGTTTTTTGTATATAACCATTTTGCATTTTAATTAATAATTATATTAATTTATATTTTATTCCATTTGTACTGTTTATAAACTTAACGTATAATAATAATAACAATAATAATAATAATATTTCAATTGCGAGACAATTATGAGACCATTATATATATATATTCATGTTGCATCCGTAGAATTACACATAAAAAATGAAATGGAGCGTTTGATTTGAACGTTGACCTGGAAGCAATTACATCATTATGCTGTATTTTTGTGCCGTAAATGATCTTCCGCTGAAGTCGATCTGCAACAATTATAACGTAACGTCACAGCTATAAACTGCGAAATAGCGAATTACTATAGATTGTATTAAGCAAATTACTAATTTTTAATCGGTCAAAAAATTAATTTAATTATGTTAAAAAGATGGCCGTATTATAACCTGGAACTTGTGAGCAGGGAAGGTCTCTAATGTCATTTTTGTAAAGCACACATTAAATAATAAAAAAGCCGTTTGAGTTGCATTTGCAGCCGGTCATAAAATTTTTTAGAGCTAAAAACTAATACTGACGACTAGTGGTAGATCTTAACCACTTTGACAGAGACCAAAATGTTAAATATTTTGAAATTTTAAAAATATTTGAATGGGGGCCAGGCCAAAAAATCAACCAAATGTCCGCTTGTATGGCCAAAATCAGGCAGGCAATTTTTTTTCAATTCTCACTTTATAAACGATTTTCCCCTTTCTAAAAACTGAGTTATTTATACTTACTTTTAATGAAAACACTGCCACAACGAGAAACCATAGCTCTCAGGCTCCGCAAGATCCGCATCTGCCAATGAAATAGCTTTATCACCAATCTTTACTAAAAAATTAAATGTAGCATTTAACAATTCGGCACGTATATGTATATCAAATATAGTTAGTATTATTTTGTACTGAGATCATTTTAGACAGCTCAGGCGATATTTATAGTGCATTCATAATAAACATTAAAAATAAGTTTTTAGCCATGTTGATAGGTGTCATTTATGATTCTTTTTAAAAAATACACCAAAAAGGTTACCCAGCCCAATATCAAGATGCAGTTTCATCTGATTTGGGAAATTTCGTTATATGATTTTGCTTGATAATTGCTAATACATCATTTACCTAAATATCACCTATCCAATTTAGAAAATTTAGTTTCAGTTTTTTGAGTTCAGAGATTATTCTGGAGGCTTGTTAGTCAGTGGCTGTTATATACTTCGAAAGATAATTTAATTTTACATAAAATAGTAGAAATGTTTATTTAGGCTGCGATTATTAATATTTTTAATTTATTTTTTTCTAAATCTAATTTATTTTTTTTATTGATTAATAGTTCATATATACGTACCTGAAATTGAACTTAACCAGTAGCGTCAACCTCCCCCTAGGTGTTGAAGGCAAACATCGCTCCTGGGTCAACTTTAGTATGTGTACTAACTTCAATATGCTTTGAATGTTATGACATGTTTATATTAGGAATTATAAAAATTTAATTGATAATAACCCAAATGAACAATTTTTAAAAAAAAAAGCATTATTAAAATAAAAATAACTAAACGACAATCATAATTTTTTCACTGGTTATTAACAGAACAGTTAGATAAACTCAGTCACACAAGAGTTGAAATTTTAATGAGGGATTCGCGGCAGCAATATGTAAAATTATCTCATCATCAGTAAACGTATAATGTAGGTAGATCCTTTTCTGCTGTAATTATCATTTGCCATTGTAGATCGAAGCCGGTTTTTCACAATTTTAAGCTTAGTGAAAGCTCGTTCTCCGGATGTACTGGACACTGGAAGTGCAAAAGTAGTTAATAGTTTGTTTAACATCCTTAGATTAGGATATCCAGATAACTGAGATAGAATTTTTAGTGATTTTATGTAACTATTATTGTTCTTTTTTTTAGATAGAATGTAATTGTGCATCCAGTTTTAACATAATGTCGGTTTTAATGTCAACTTCTTCATCTGACTCATCTAAATCATTTTTTGTTAATTTTTTATCCTCTTTAGATGATTTTTCTGACATTTCTTCCAACAATTAATTAGTTTTTTTAAAATCATTTAGCTCAGGTGCAAATTTTTCCGAATCGACTCCGTACAGGTCACATATCATCTGAATTTCACTAGCTTTTATATTGTAGCTACGTAGTAGTGCTTTATGGAAAAAATGAAAGTTCTTTCATGAATTTCAAGTTTTTTTGTTTAAACTATTGATATAATACCATATATAATAAATATTATATATATACCCATAGTTCAAACTCACTGTTCATTTGATTTATTACCTCATCTTAGACAGTTTCAATAATATCCAATTTTTTTATTATGTTCGTCTTAACATCTATCATTGCATCGATTCATCATTCATCCTTTTCTTTGCACGCCGTCTTATTCACGCCAATGACTGCCCTAATATTAAATCTTCTCTTAGTTGTTGGGCGCCTGGTGCTGTTTCGCAGTCACTGGGTTCGAATATGACAAAATGATCCGCGGCTATCACATTCTTCGTTTGTGATGCGTCGTTTAGCACGTATTAAAGGTTAAAGGTTTCTCTCTCTTTTGCGTTTGCTTCAGAGGTTTCAACGACAAACACACACAGCGTATATGAATACGCGTGCAAACGCGTGCATCGTACACATTGCATATGATAGACGGGGATTTCTTTGTATTTGAACCCAGTCATAGCAATAGCAAGACCAGGCACCTTTAACCATTTAGCCATCACGCCGCTAATTAATTTACGATGTTGAATTAATTTATAATAATGCTAATTAATTTACATTAATTTACGATGTTTTTGCGCTTTGTTGAATCCTCTGAACTTCGGAAGTGTGTTACTGACCTTTAATTAACTTTTTAACCTAATTGACCTCATAATATTGATAAATTTTACAAGAAAGAGGGGGCCTAACTCAAACTGGAGGCAATTGTTTCTGAATTTTAAATATTTTACACAAATTTAAAATATCAGCTAAGTAACTTACATAGCTAAACAATTTCCAATAAGGTATATACATATAAATAGAATATAGAATATCTATATTCAATTTAATTGAACACAAGCCGTCATTATGCCAATAGGTCTTTTTTTTCACGATCTCTCGTCGCATAATATATAGGTCGGCATAGCTAGGTTCAGTCTCATTTAAATGTTTTTAATTTTCCTCGTTGCTCGATCCTATCTTTTTCGATCTTCATATTTACTTTTTTAAGTACAGTTAATTAAATTTAATAATAAATAAAGAAGGTTAAGTTAAACAAATCTTAGCAAATCAATGGTTACATTTCTGTAAGAAGAATAATCCAATGCGGGATGGCAAGTAAAAAAAAATTTAAACCAGGTTGAATTTGAATTTGATATTTTATGTATGTAATATTGTAATTTATAATAAATAATTTTATATTTCATCTTAAAATTTTATATTAATATTTAATTTGATTGATTTGATTGAAAATTGTCGAGAAAATCATTGAGAAAAGATTAACTTAACATCGTGCACCACAATCGGAAATTATCAATTTGGTTTTCTAGTAGGGAAATCAACAATTAATGCAATTCACATCCTTCGACAAAGAGAAGTACCTCGCAAAGCATCAACAACTATCACACATTTTTGTAGACCTTCAAGAAGCATTTGATCGAGTTCTCCATGAAGCAATCAGGTGGAGTTTACGTCGACAACTCATTCCAAAATATCTTGTTTGACTTGTGATGGAAATGTATACGAATACTAAGACTCTCATCAGCTCAATGGTTGAAAACACAGATGCATTTGACATCAGCGTTGGAGTTCACCAAGGTTCGATTCTCAGTCCACTGTTATTTATAACTTTGATGGATGAAATCACAAAAGCGATACGCACTGGTGACATTTGGAATCTAATATATGCTGATGATGATATCGTTTTAACAGCCACGTCTGAGCAGAAGGCAGCACAGATGTTTGAAGATTGAAACACCAGACTCGCCGATCATGGATTCAAAGTCAACATAAGTAAAACTAAAGCAATGAACACTGGTGAACCCATCCAATTCACAGCTACTGGACGATGGTGTAGATGTTGTAAAGCTGGTGTGATGTTGTAAAGCTGGTGTAGGTAATAATTAAATCAAGTGTCAGCAGTGTAACCATTGGTGTCACAAACGTTGTTCAAAAATAATTGGTGTCCAATTTTTTTTGTTCTGCTTGCATCAATCCACAACAACAAATACGAAATAGCAATGTTTTTGAAGCCGTTTAGGTAGAGAAAGTCACATCATTTCAATATCTAGGGGATGTTCTGGATTGTACTGGAACAGCTGAAGCTGCCGTTCGAGCACATATACGTGCAGCCTGGAATAAATGGCATCTCCTTGCCTCTGTATTGATGCAGCGTGACATCCCACTACGATCAAGACTTTATAAATCAGTGATATGTCCAGTGTTGTTATATGGTGCAGAAACATGGCCAATGACAACCAAACTGGAACAACAACTTCAACGAACCGACATGAAAATGCTCCGATGGATGCAACGAATTAGTCTGATGGACCACATCAAATCAACTGAAATCCTGCGTCATGCTGGTTTAGATTATATAAAGGACGAATGCAGGCAACACCGTCTGCGGTGGTTTGGTCATGTCAAACGAAGTGGAAACAGTGCCATAACTTCTCTTGCAGATGTTGAAGTACCTGGCACACGTCCCAAAGACCGTCCATTGAAGTCCTGGTTGCAAACAATCGAGCAAGACATGAAAGCTCTAAATTTAAATGAAATGACTACAACTGGTTGCCTAATTTGGCACAAAAAATTGATGGCAAAGAAAACGACGTCCTACCTTGGGGAACTGGGCTTTTTGGACGCTAAATGAAGATTGATTGATTGATTTGTACTTAAAACCGGTATCTTCCTACCTAATAACCATGAACCCCCTTTTGATCAGCCATTGTGTGTATTAATGTAGTGATTTAGTAATAATTTTATAATGTTGCTGTGCTGAACGTTAAGAGATAAATCTGAATTAATTGTGTGTTTTGTGCAATGTTGTAAATTTTTGACTCTAAGGTTCCAATTGCAAGCTTAAGTTGGCTGTTTGAACTATCGCAGCCTTGTATCATTTAATTTTCATTTGGTAGGATAAAGATATCCTCATTTTGAGTGTGAGGTTTAGTATTTTGCATTGTATTCTTAGGAGCTGGTTGGTGAGATCCAATGCAGTGATGATGGCGTGATGGATTGGTCTTTTCTGGTTGAAGCCATTAGCAATGTCTATGGTAATTTTGGTGAGAGCATATGTTGTTGAATGTCCTGGATGAAAGCCGTGTTGATGATTTGTCAAAGTTAGAGGTTTGGTGATGATTGGAAGAAGACATTTTCCTAGGACCTTAATTGCTGGACATAACAGTGATAAAGGTCGGTAGGATTTAGCATCGCTATCAGGTTTACCTGTTCCTAAGTGGTTGAAAATTATGTTGTTAATACTCTTCAATGGTTGTTATGGCTTCTATCATTTCAAATCCTTGATGTGCAGTTTAGTTTCACCTTACATTGTTGAGTAACAAACTAGGCAAATAAGTTTTATTAAATAAGAAAGAAATTTTAAACCACGCCACCACACTTTGATCGAAAATGATGCAAAATCAATTTATAAATAATTTCCTATCAATTTTTTTTGGTTTTTTACTTGGTCAGCCTATTATGAATCAATTTTTGTTTGTTTGATTTTAATCGAAGGAACTTATTAGTAACTATAGAAAAGCATTTTATTGCTTTGTGAAACCTTTTTTCAAAATGTAATTTTGACAATAAAACCTTCTATATTTTAATTTTGTGTTTAAGAGTTGGAATATAACAAAACAAAAAATATTTGGAGAATTAATAAAATGGAAGTTATAAGTTAAAATGGAAGTAAATTCTTATTTACCATGTTTTGAATGACTTCAGGAATAGTTAGTATTGAATGTTGTCTTGCTCATGAAAAATGATTAGAAACTCAACCAAGTTTTCAATTACAAATTTTCCTGTATTTACTTAACTAAAAATCTCGATTGTTCTGCTCTGCACATAATATTTTTTTGTTTTTCATCTTAAGTCTTTTCCATTTCAATAACATCTAAAATAAATACGTTTATTAAATAATATTTGTTGTTTAGATTTGTTCATTAATTCATGTGTTTTATTCACATTTTCACTCTTAATTTTGAAGATTGTGAAGAACTTCCTGTAGCCGTTCTATCGGATGAAGTTTATGCAAAAGTTGAATTAGGTTGCTCTCTGGTTTTTGTTATTGTTGTTCTTTCAAATGGAGACTCATTTAAATTTTTACAGCCATTGATTACATTAGAAATCATTCTGTTAATAATTAATTTATAATTCATCATTTCTTTTTATTTTGAGGATAATTACTTTATTTAATAATACAGATGATGCTATCACTGACTCTTTCTTTTTATACTTTTTATTTACGACACCTGTTTCTATTTAAACTTAAAATGATGAGGAAGATTAAATCATTATGATTTTGAACATAATTGTTTTTTCTTTATTATGCAGCTCTGACATATGTAGAACCAGAACATATCTTTCCTGTATTTAAACCTTCGTGTCACAAAGACTGTACTATCCACACCACACGACGTACATACACATTATGTACGCATAGTTTTCGAACCAGGTCATCGCGTAACTGCATGAGACATGGCACTTCTACCGACTGAGTTAACTCGCCGACCATATTTTATTGATTTATGAATATTTCAATTTCGATTTTATTTATTAATTATTTACTTTCCAACAGTTTTAAAGCAAATAGTTTAAATTTTTCTTAAGTGCCAGTATATGCCAGTACCATAAAAGTTAAGACAGATACATCAAAAATTGTTAAATGGTTGTCACAACATTTCCCTGTGAAGGACTTGTCACATTTGAAGCGTGTGAGGAAGAGAGCAGGGATTGAAAATATGGAAGAAGGTGTCAGTACATTTTTTTATACATTTTTTGAATGAATTGACTTCTGTATTGTTTCAAAAAATTTCAGAGTGTGGTTTGGATGTGATCATATGCTCTTCAATTGACTGTTATTCAAAGAGAGATCTAATTGATAGAATCAAAAATTTCAAATGCACAGCAAACGTTTCTGTTGAAAATCAAAATGCTCCTGATTATATTTATAATTTAATCAAAAGTGCATTCCTTGTCAAGGTCCCGTTGTTACCTGCAACAACTCGAGATCAGTTTGTGGAGGCATCCAGGTACTGGCCTGTTTCATTCCATGAAGATAAAAAGTGAACTGTTCATTTATTTATCGTCTAATTTGTTAATTTTGTTGAATTTAAATTTTCCTCTACATCTTCTTCAGTGTAACAAGCTTGCTTCAGAAACATATTTTCAGCTCAAGTGATTTACACAAGCATAAAATGAATATGAAACGTGCCTTTGACAAATCTTTGGAGAATTCAGTTAGTTTTAATTAAATTGTTATAATTTTTTTATTCTATTTCATAAAAGTCCTTGCTGGGTTTGATATATGAATATCCAATGGAATCAATTATAAACCGCAAAAAGTTCTGTATAAGAATTTACATAGCTTTTCAGAAATAAATCTTTAAACACTTCGTGGAATACAATTACAAAATTATTAGTGACGGTAGTAGTGAGGTGGTTGTATTATCTCTATTTATAGAAGTCAGATGTTCAAAATGGTGTGCTTAGAGCAAACAGCATGCACAACTACTTGTAAATCAACACATTATGCACGTTTTGATTTTAATCGGCTGATATCTTATTGGACTGGAACCCGGTCATGGATCAGACGGTCGGTCTTCGTTCGTTCATCACACCATCATGCATATCTTTGCTTTGAATGTAGAGTTGCAGTTCTGCAAAAAGTACTCGAAGAAATCAAATAAAGAAATGCAAAAGAACTAGGTAATTGAAACGCTACATGTGGCGATGTTTATCATATCTTGTAAATAATTAAAAAAAAGTAAATTGAGAAAAAATCCAGAGATAAAGATCAGAGAAAGCGAAAATGGGCCAGCTGCTTGTATTATGTTCAGGCGAGATAATAATGTGGTGTGAAGTGAATACTTGCGATATTTTTTTACCATATGCTTAGGTTTTGATATAACGGCTACCAGACGTTTAGGAAAGCCATCAAAACTTGACGAGTACATCGGGCTAAGTCTACAGCTAAAAGGTAACCACTAAAAACGCCGAGATATTAACAAAAAGCAGACATGATATACGGCAAGCAGGAGGATTAGAAATGTTAGTGAAAGATTATATTATGAATAATACACAAACAAGGCATTAAGTCTTTTTGCTCAACTCCTAAAATCATGAAATAAATAAAATGTTCATATATATAATTGAATAAATATTTTGTTGAACTCGATCAAATTTACCAGGTTGGTTCTTTTCTTTTTCAAGTTTTCTGATTTTTTAATTGGTTTCTTATTTTCATAATCGAAATCGTGAATTAAATTTCCAAGTCATTTCTCATACTGCCTAAACACCACACTTTTATTTAATTGAGTAAATGTATACGCATAAATATCAATGCCCAGTTACAATTAATAAATAAAAGGAAAATTTCCATAAACGCCAGCCATTGTATTTCAATTCATCAAATTTGTCTTTTCAGTCACACAATTCCTTTTAAATTCATACATGTCAAATCAGCTCTCCAATCATCATTTAGACAGATAATTATTCAATTAAAATGACCAGAACTTTCTTTTTTCTTTCTTCCTCGTGCCTTATCTTTTCAGGACATTGGTGACCAACGACCTCCACAAAACCCGATCTTTAACAATTTTTAGTAATTGAAATGTGATGATATTCAGCAAGTGACACAAGGATTTCACAAATGTTGTTCGTTGTTGACCGCGATCTTTTTTCCCTGCAATCTTTTCAGTAGTTGTTAGATTTTCCATTCTTTCCTTCCGCATGTGAAAGGAAAGAATAACCGGAACATTTTTCTTTATTCAATTTCCCATTAATCTTAGACACTACTCAAATCAATCGCACTTTTTTTTTCAACACTTAAGTAATTCATTTAAAGTGAAATACAATACAATCTTTTGTTATTGACTTCATCATAATCAAGATGATAATGATAATGTAATGAGTTTGTATAACATAATAAGTTGCAAGTTATAGATGGAACTGATGAAGTCGCAAGAATCATCTGGAAAAGGTGGAGCTCAATAATAATAATAATAATAATAATAATAATAATAATAATAATAATAATAATAATAACATGATGCAGATTGAAATCTGATGACTTTAAAACTGAGTGCATTTTCAGCTTTGATCAGTTTCTGGTTCAATTTTTCAACATTTTGTACTTTATTTTTATCATTATTTTTCAACTTATTTATATAGAAAACAATATTTTCTATATAAATATTTTATTCAACATTGGTGTCAAGTTTTTTTGTGACTGACTTCACAGACTCACCCTAGCATAATTTAGATTATTACTGTTGCTATATCCGTTTTTGTTATTGCTGTTTGTTTGTTATTGACTTCATTATGATCAAGATGATAATGATAATGTAATGAGTTTGTATAACATAATAAGTTGCAACAGTTATAGATGGAACTGATGAATCATCTGGAAAAGGTGGAGCTTTTATTATTATTATTATTATTATTAGGTCTGTTTGCTGTATTTTCTATGTAAATAAGTTGAAAAACAGTGATTAAAATTCGGTATATATATATATAACATTTACGATCAACAGTTAGAAAAATCGAATTAACTAACGCCAAACATGATGTGATTTTCATCAATTATTGACGACAATAATTGACAATAATTGCTCTATTGACGACTTTGCGCATCAACAACATTAGTATATCGGTGTTGCGACACTTCACTGTCAAGACGTCTCACAATGCATGCACAAAGAGGAGCCATCAAATCTCACTTACAATCAACACATGCAACTCCAATAATCCGCCAAATTCTTGACAACAACACAAAAATAATTTATTAAACCACCAACACAATACATCTAAAAATTGCAGAAGCTGTCCTTATAGATATCAATAAATTTCAAATAAACATCCAACAAAGAAACAACAAATGATTACATCAATACCAACACGACACTTTAACGCTAACTGTAATAATGGGGAACAAGGAAGTGATACCAACAAAGAAGATGAAGAATATGACACCGTTTAATTAACTACCTTTCTTTTGTCTAAGAAGCTGTATAAACCAAAGCTGCACTGAAGGTGATTTGTGAAAAATCGAAAAAGGCCTATCTGCAGGATGAATTTGGATAATAATTTTATTTTTAATAAATCGAACAATTTTTTGAAAATATTAGTAAAAAAAAAATAAAAAGGCAAACTTTAGATCGGTTAATGCAGTGCTTTTCAAAGTGGTGGTCCGCGGACCGATGCCTGTCCGTGGACTAGCAGCTGCCGGTCCGCGGCGAGCTTACAAAGTTTTTTAAAATATTCAAAATAAAAATAAGACTCTACCAGGAACACAAAGAAAATTTCATTAATTAGTACTGATGAGATAAGAATAGAAGTGAGAGTGCGAGAGCCAGAATGATCTCTGCAACTAATGAGATTCATTGTTCCGAAATGTCGAGATAAGTATATATGTGAGGGTGGTCATTTTTATTTCATTTTATTTACATTTTGTTTCAAAATATCGAAGTAATTGTAATTATTATTTATTTTTAATAAACATTGTAGTCAAAAGATTCCATGCTTCTAAAATTAACAAAATCTACAAATCTACCAACATTCACGGTATGTTTATTGTATATATATATATATATATATATTTATATATATATATATATATTGTGTAATGGTGTTCCGCTGCATGCCCATTAAATTCCGTACCGGTCCGCGGAACAAAAAAGTTTGAAAAGCACTGGGTTAATGTCGACAGTATATACCTACCAATAAACCCCGCCATGTATGAATGAAGAGAGAATACTTCAACCGTCTGTTAAATGAAACACATCCCATCAATGTCAACTTAGACGCTTCACCCATCGAAAGTCCGATTCCAGACATCACTGTAGAGGAGCTTACAGAAGCTCTGAAAGCTATGAAGAATGAAAAGGCAGCAGGGCCCTCTGGACTCACAAATGACATTATCAAAGCATCTGGTACTGCATGTATCCAAACGTAACTACAACTTTGCCGTGAAATTTGGAGAAATTGCTCAATGCCGACTGAATGGAACTATAGCATGACAGTTCCGCTATACAAAGGCAAAGGTGATCCATATAACTGTTCATCATATCGGGGTATACGTCTGTTAGAACACTCCCTGAAAATCGTCGAAAAAATTATTGAGAGAAGATTAACATCGTGCATCACAATCGGAAATTATCAATTTGGTTTCCTTGCGGGGAAATCAACAATTGATGCAATTCACATCCTTCGACAAAGAGAAGTACCTTGCAAAGCATCAACAACTATCACTCATTTTTGTTGACCTTGAAAAAGCGTATGATCTAGTTCCCCGTGAAGCAATCAGGTGGAGTCTAGGTCGACAATTCATTCCAGAATATCTCGTTCGACTTTTGGTGGAAATGTATACGAATACTAAGACTCTTGTCAGCACAACAGTTGGAAACACAGATGCATTTGACATCGGCGTTGGAGTTCACCAAGGTTCGATTCTCAGTCCACTGTTATTTATAACTGTGATGGTAGAAATCACAAAACCGATACGCACTGGTGACATTTGGAATCTAATATATGCTGATGATATCGTTTTAACAGCCACGTCCTAGCAGAATGCAGCACAGATGTTTGAAGATTGGAACACCAGACTTGCTGATCATGGATTCAAAGTCAACATCAGCAAAACCAAAGCAATGAACGCTGGTGAACCCATCCAATTCAAAACTACTGGACGATGGCCCTGTTCAGTTTGTAAAGCTGGTGTAAGTAACAATTCAATCAAGTGTCATCAGTGTAACCAGAAACTGCCGTTCGAGCACGCATACGTGCAGCCTGGAATGAATGGCATCTCCTTGCATCTATATTGATGCGGCGTGACATCTCACTACCACTACGATCAAGACTTTATAAATCTGTGATACGTCCGGTCTTGCTATATGGTGCAGAAACATGGTCAATGACAACCAAACTGGAACAACAACTTCAACGAACCGACCAATATATATATATATATATATATATATATATATATATATATATATATATATATATATATATATATTTTTATAAAATTTATAATAATTTTAAACAAGAACACTTCTTTATTCATTAATAGTCTCAATATTAACAATGTAACGGTTGAAGATACTAGAGAGATATGTAATGCTCTGTATGCCTATTTCACTAATATAGCAAAATCGAACAGTCAAACCATCTCAACACAATTGATGCGGCGTGACATCCCACTACCACTACGATCAAGACTTTATAAATCTGTGATACG